TTATAAATAAATAATTAGATATTTGAATAACAGAGACGTATTATCCTCTGAGTATTAATTACAATGTGACCATATATACACAATCATTACTCGACAAATTAGACAGAAAATAACCAACTAACAATTTAACACTAACTAACACTAGTTATGTACATAACTAATTTTAAAACTGTACAAAACTAACTAATTGACTCAACTGTACATTATATTCTCATCAACTGTATTTGAAAAAAAAAAAGTTCAGATTGAAAAACCATACAATATGACTGAATTTTGACTTATCAGTTACTTAGCTTATAGACACTTACTAATATTCATGTTGACAGGCTTATTTATTTGTCAGTTAGATCGGCTTATAAGCTCAGTCAATCACAGATGAGTTTACGTTTTAGATTCATTTGGGACTTTATTTTAATAGATTTAGTGTCGTTAAATGCATATTTTATAACATTAACTGATTATGTCTTGCGTTGAGTTTTATTCTACATAATTAAAAGACGAAATCTCCAACAAACGCCGCTTCTAGCATATTCAATTGAGAAGTAACATATTTTAATTACTACTATTTTTAATATCAAATTACATGAAAATAAATGGGAAAAAAACTATCAAATTAAAAGTTTTTGCATAATGTTAAACTCAATTACAAGTTCACGATAGTATTTTGATGTATCTAAGAATAATAATTACGAGGGGGTGATTTAATTTTTGTGGCATTTGTTAGTTTTCTAATAAATTCAAGTAGAAGGATAAAAATTGTTCACTTTTAAATACTTGAAGGATATTTTCTGCTAAGAATAATACTTTAAAGATATCGTTTAAGCTTGAGGTCTAGTTGAAGGATGATTTTCTCCGAAACTCATCAATTTATCTATAATAATTACTATATCCATATATAAAATTTTGAGATGCTATTTGTATGGTTTTGTACTTTTGTTCATTGTTTCAAATCCTACAATTCCCTCACTATTAAAATACATAAATAATTATCGACAAATAAATTTTATAGCTTAACAACAAAAATCGTCATTAATTCTATTCAGCAATGAATGATTAAAAAAATTATGTTATCTAAGAGCAATTTAGCGATGAAGTTCATAGTTAATTTCATAGAGGCTCGATAAATAAGAATTGGGTAAGCTAATTCATGAGTCAAGATTATGTTATGATAGTGAACTAGAAAAGCACTATGATCTCAACTCAGTGTTATTTTACATTGTAACAATGTTTACTTTTAAGCAAGATACAATTTGTTAAACTCATGTTTATATTTGATTTGTTATCGTGAATTTCAATTATCTCTTTTTAGGTCAAATCTAAACGGTTAAATCGATTATTGATAAATCAATAACCGATAAACTTCAAAATTAAACCGAACCGACCGATAGGTCACCCTTGCCAATTGCAAGGAACTTCCATTAATAAAATCATATATAATAAAAGAGTTCTGTATGGATGAAAATGCAATCTAGGCCCTATGCAAAAGTTCTTTGAATACTTTTGAAAAAGTTATGGTACTAACATTTATAAAGCAGGTAGTGCCTGCTGATTTAGGATATTCAATATAGACACAATGAATCAAAACATAGAAATTTGCCTTTAGAAAGGCCATATTGTACTAAACTTATAAAGGTAAGTGGTTGAATATATTCCTCTACAGTAGAAAAAACAAGCAACCATAACTTTTGATCCAAATGGAGTTACAGTTTATGAATTGCCATTATCACGCGTCTTCGTTGTAAGCTAGCTTCTTGTCTTGGAGTTCTCCAGTCCTCGTCTCTACAGATTCGTTCATTTCATCTTTCTTGACTTCGCTAGCACGATAAATTGCATATAAAATTAACTGCATTGCTCCTAATAAAGTTCCAATGGCATTTGGTACCTGTAATAAGATCAACACTTCTCTGAGATTTGTCATTGTTACTGAATCAATCTTTTATGCCTTTGTTTGGTTGGTACTGACTTAAGTATCATGATTTTCTGAAAACCTTGCAAAAATTCTAGTCACAAAAACGTAGAAGTTACTGAGTACTTCAAACAAAAGCTTCTTACCAAAATGAAAGGGTCCTTTCCGAGCAGGGCGAAGAAAAACCATGACAAACTGCAGATGAAAACAGCTAGTGACAAAAAGAATGGCATGTACTCAACGCTTTTAGATTTGATTACCCGCCTCTACAAAAGGAGAGAAAGGATTAGAATTACAAATGAACTAAAAGAGAATTTCGTTCTACTGTATAATACAAGCTTATTTGTAACCCAAATTATGATTTTAGCTCTAATATTGAATACTTTAACGCAGAACTCGGAAGATTGAACTATACATATGTGTTTTGAAAGAAGAGATTACGATTTGTTGCTAGGAGAGTACCATTGATCACCCATCCCTTAAAGAGTCGATGTGAGACTCTATACAATCTAAAGGTAAATGAAATGTCCCAACTCAAAAAATTCTAAAAACAATATTTCATAAAGTAAGACAACGTAAAAATTCCTACTTCTAGTACCTATTAAAATTGACTCAGCTAGTGACTTTGCTAAACATGAGGAAGACTAAATAACTTACCATTACCGAGAGAGGAGAACCATACATCATAATACAAGAAACTGTAAAAGCAAAGCCGCAAAGGAGCTTCCTTTTATTGCCATGAAATGCCAACAGGGAAACTAAGGCCACGCATGAGACGATGGAAAAGACCACAACGAGGTATCCGCAGATTTTGGCCTTCTCTTTCTTGGGGGCAAATATGAGGAAAATCAACACATATGTTGCCTCCAGTCCAGCTCCTATGGAATTGACGATAGTTACCAGCAGGTTGTCTGGTGACACAAAAGGTAAACTATACCTGTTTTCATTCACCAAAAGCCAATTTCTAAGTTACATTCAAAATTTATTTTAAGAAGAATAGGCAATGACACTATTATGTTTGGAGCTGAATTATATACACCAACAGTCATAAGATATTTACGCTATTAATGTAATCTAATATGTGATAGCATGTTACTTACCATTTTTACTAAGTTAGCAAATTAAAATTTATTATGGAATTTATTTCTAGTTCTCTGACCAAAGTGTAACCATCACTTCAGAGTTGAAAAAATATAGCATTTGATTGCACCCAACTTCTCTATAGGTGTGTTTCCAATGGGGTTAAACATTTTCCTCAAGTTTCTCATGTTTGGTTGGTCAAAACGTTTCTCCAGTAAAACAAGTTCCTTAAGTGGCATTCCACCCTAAATCTATCCGCCCCACCCCCCAAACAATCCCAACCCCAATTCCCTTACCCTTCCCATTCTCAGTACCCTACCCTATCCCCTTCGCCCCATCCTTGCTACACATACCTATCCCCACCAAGCCCTCCTAACCGCCCACGCGCAAACCCGTGACTTCCATACCAAACACACCCATGTGATTTTGTTTTTGTGTCCTAATTTGACTACTGAAAAAAAGAAAAAGAAACTTTTATTAGTAGTATATAAGTTGAAATAGAAAATTGTTCTTTTTTACCTTTGAACCAAGGATGCAAAAGGGCAAAGGGAACAATGAAGGTTGCACTATGATGCTTGTAAAACTTAAAGCAGCACCACTAGACTACAGCTTAGGCGGCGAAAATTGGATATTTATTTTTTCCAATGTAACTTTACCATTTCAGAAGAATAAGCTCCCCTAGCAATGGCTCTGACCTAATCCTGGTCAATCATTCCAACAATTTTTTTTTGAAGGTGTTTGGCTAAGCTTATCGAACTGGCTCATAAACACTCATTGGCTTATCTACGCATTTGATGACATCAATAGAGTGCTCATAAGCCAAGATCTGCAAGAAGTCATAATCTGGTCCACCCCTATCTTATGGTTTTACAACTTATAAGAACTTTTGGTTTAAGCAAACCTTTTACAATTTTATTCTTGATATCTTTGTAGTTTTAGAAATAACTAGTTTAATAACATAACTTTTAATTATCTGTTTATTCTATTTCCATCATTCATCCTTCTTTATGTAAAAAAAGGTACTTCAAATTTATACATTTGGTAAATAACTTTAAGGATATTCAGTCATTCTAACAGAAAAAGTGCTTTATCACTTATCAGCATCTTTTTACTAAACATGATAAATGTTTATTATCAGTTTCAGCACTTCTTTTCAAATATGTAGATGCTTATTTGGAAAATCAATTTCAATACCTAAAAGTGCTTTTCAGCACTAAATGTTTATAAGATAACTCAAACGAGCTCTTTAATAAAGTATTAATAGGATAAAGACTACTAACTGAAGAAACGTACCAAACTGAGAGCAAGCAATTGAGCAGAGCTATTACATAAGGTATGTTAGAGAACTGTTCTGTTGATCTCTTGCTAATAATCCTTTTGAATGTAATCCTGTATGTAGTGTCAAACTCTGATCATTGAAGTGTTCTATTAGTTTTGTTGAGAAAAATAAGCCGAAAATGTAAGACAAAAAGAGCACACATATAAATGTAACAAAATAACAAAAATTTAAAGAAGGCTTACATGGGTGCCATGAAGAGTAATACACCAAAAACATTTCCTATTCCAGGAAGAAAAAAACAAGAAAGAATTATTATAACGAACATTCACAGAAAACTTGGAATAAAAATAAGAACTAAAATGCATGAACCTAAAATTCCAAAAGCAGTGTGGAGAACTTTAATGTCTCTCATGGAAGAAAGGCTTGTTTTCAGGCTAGAAAACTGGAAATTCCCGAGAAGGTTAGCATAAGGTGCAGACCAGCAATTTTTTTTAAGTATGTCTAATATAGAGCTAAAAAGGATACTTTTACTGTTGAAGAATAACTGGCTTTTGTGTGTTCATTGAGCAGTAGTAAAGGAATTTGGTTCTAATACACATATTCCCACCACGTTTTTCACTCAAAGTAGTTATTAATCCATACAATCCAGTTAAGTAAAGCAAATACTAGTTTGATATTAAATCTTACTCTTAATTTGTTGAAACACGCTCATAGCCAGCATATTTTGAAACAGCACAAAGTAATATAGCATTTATGTCATTTCATATACTCAAACATGGTTGACATATACCAAAAATCATTTCATCTATACTCGAGCACTTGTCTAAAAGCAAGGACACTTGAAATTGTCAACCTTTACATAAGCTTGTGATTCTGTCAAAAATGCAATTTTAAGGGAAGCTAGTCCTATATGTTACTGATTTTATGTCATCCAATTTACTCAATCTCAACTCCTTCATCAATTATGAAGACAATACATATCTAAGAATTAACAACCTATAAAACTCAAAAAGTTTATCTAGTATATAATACCATAGGATTCACAGTACCTGATACCAGTTTATTGGTTCAAACCCTATGTGACTGTAAACCTGTAATAAAACTCATCTATAGCAAGTTATCAACCAACTCTTGTAGAATCCTTAATACCCATATCGGTAGGATTCATAAACTCCACCAATTCAACAATAAACAACATACCCAGTGTAATTCCACGAGTGGGGTCTGAGGAGAGTAGAGTCTACGCTGAACTTATCCCTACCTTGGGAGGTAGAGAAGTGGGGGTCATGAACTTAACAAATCTTGCTTGCAAATTCAAAATACTCAGAATCTTATACCATGAGTCAAGCCTTAACTCATGATCTACATATAATTCAGCCATATTCTTAATCCATCATGAGCAACTCAAGCTCTAATCATGAGTCTTATATAGTTTACTTTTACAACTCATTCCAAAGTAGGTGAGTCCAACTTCAACTTTGAGAGAAACCCAAGCCAAGGGAATGAACACCTAGATAGTTTGCTTCAACAGGGGCTAAGTCCACCCAAGATCAAGTTATTTTAAAATTTTGTTGTCCATGAATAGAAAGGATCGTAAAGGGTGAAATATAGGTGCATCAAGTATTACAATAATAATCATCAGAGAATCAACTGAAAAAGTAGCTACAAAACAACTGGGTGAATTGTTTTTGTTTTTTGATAACTAGGTCTCTGAGTCAGCTGGCGTGCACCTCGACTAATTTCTGGGGATACCTATCACCACCCATCAGCAACATGTAACTCTGTTCACCAAGGCTATAATAGATAGGAAGAAATGACTTAGTGTTTTGTCTGTGCTGAGATCATCAACCTAAGACCTCATGGTGCTCAGCCCATTACATTGACCACTAGGCCACACCCTTGGGTGCTATAACTGGGTGAATAGTTAATCTCAAATTTTAAGAGAATCATAGAATATAATGACATTAATAACTTTTGTTATCGCTGAGTAACTACTTTTCAAGATACCTTTAAATATACTTGCATAATCGCTCTTAAAGTATCACATTTTTTTTTGCTTTTTCAACATATTTGGGCCCAGAGAATGTGTGTAAAAAGTATAAAGAAAGGAGATTTATTAGAGGGTGATATTTATTCTCACCAAAAGCATAAATATAGAGAACTATTTAATTAAGTTTCTCATAATGACCAAAAGGCGTCCAAATTAAGATGAACTAAGAATAAAGATGCCCACTTGGAACCTATATTAACAATTTTCTTTTTTATTTTCAATTAATGAAAAAGAAGGATTCTTTCTCTCTTTTCCACCACTATCCTCTCCTTTACTTTTGACTCTTTAGTCTTCTCGGTTTTATTTGTAGTTAATTAAGGAAGGCCTAGGGAGTGGAAGACTACTTTTACAGAAGGAGGAAAAGTTAAAATATAACTTCTTAATCAATTTGACTGACCAGGAATATTAATTGTCTGGAGAAAAAATGTCGCAACCTACATTGCCCCGGAACTATAGCAGTGCACTGACGTAAGTATCAGGCTTCACAAGACGAAGAATATGCCCAGGCATCATAGTTTGGTAGTTCATAATGCAGTTGCAGAGTCAAAACCAGATGGCTTTAAAGCCAAAAACATTTTTGACTTACTATTACCTTGGGGAACAGCATACGAACCAGTGAAAGTACTTCAACTTCCATATACTAGTGTCAGCATCAGATTCTCTTCCAACCAGCTTCCGTTTTCAGCACTATATTTTCAACAGAAAGCTGGAGGCACAGCGAGCAAAAGAGACAACATTTGCACACAAAAGTTTTATATGTGGAAATGGATTGGATTCACAGGAGAAAAAAGACAGCTTCTTCAAAAGCAAAGCATATCTATATGGAAAACAAACAATCAAGAAGTGAATATTAACAGAGCACCAATCCAAATGTGGACATCCAAGCAGAACACTGCTCAACTTTGTGCTTATTTTCTCGAAGGAATCTAGTACATGTCCACATTATCTGAATTAAGTAAAATGACGGTAGTACAGTATATTGATCAAGTGACTCTGGGTACTGTAGAAAAGTAACATGAAGAGTAGTAAGAAAAAGGTGTCTTAGAATGAAACTATTGATGTAGTAACAGTAGTTGTGTTGTCTTGGCAAAAACAAATAAGAAAATGAGAATCTTGCAGTCGATCCATCAACTAAACTCTAGATTTGGTGCAAATCTTGTCATCCTTCAACACCTTCCCGACCAACCCACCATCCTCCCATCCTATTGATCTGTCTCAACTTTCTGATCAACCAACCACTCCTTTTTGTTTTTTGAAAAATTAACCTAAATAGCCACCCCCAAACCACTTCAATTAAGAATAGCCAGCAGATGTATACTATATGTATCATCCTTGTATACTATGAGTGCAGTCATGTATAACCAGACTACCAGAGTATAATCGACGCATATAGGCTAGGAAAAGTAAAGAGCAAATCCAGCTGGCTATTTGAGCAAGGATCCCTTTGTTTCAAGTTCAACCATTTGTTTATATGCTCCAATATAATCTCTTTTTGATATTATTTTTCGTACGGTTTAAAGTACGTTATGAAAGAATATGAGCATCCAATTCAAAATAAGGCAATAAGTGAAATAGGACCATTATAAACTCCTTTGAAGTATAAGCTGACATCCCCCCACACCTGTGACCAGTTTAGGGTTTGAGGACTAGAAGACAGGGGCACAGCCAACTTATAGTAAGGGGTTCATCCAAGCCCCCTTTGGCGAAAAATTATACTATTTATACATGGTTAAATTACTTTTTATGTATATAGTGATGTAAAACCCCCTTCGACTAGTTCGTGTGTTTACTTCTTCGGATTTTGAACTCCTTTTAATAAAATCCTGACTCCGCCTCTGCTTGAAGACTACTTTTTCTGACAGACCCAGATCTTTCAGAAGTTCAGAGTAGCTCAACAGGCTAAAGCATGGACGTGGAGCATATAGAGAAGACTCAACATGTTAGGGTGTGCCTGAAAGAAAAAGTGAGCTCGACAAGTTAAGTGGGAATGACGCAGAAGGGGAAGACTCAACAGGTATAAAATGGGTTTGGAGCAGAAATAGAAGATTCAACAAGCTAAGAAATATTCTTGGAGAAAAATTGTACAAGTACATGTATTAAAATGGTTGGAGTAGAAAGAACAATGTTTCAGATACATTTGACTCCCAACATATCGTATCTTTTAGTGAAGATGTCCTTCGGGGACTAATTATTAAATTGTTGGAAAATGTAAGTATATTCTACAAAAGGACTATTAGCTTTGCTAAGTACATACAAGTTTACCATGTTCTTCAACTTAAGCTAATCCAGTAGTCTACCCCCTATCCAATAATTTTTAATGCTCATTATTTATGTTCATCAGGAAGCAAGATGACTAAGTAGAGGAAAATGGAAACCAGACCAATCTTTGATGATGTCCCTTTACCTGTTCTGGAACATACTTTGGCAATTCTTCCATGGCCTGATAAATAGTACCTTCATGCATCTCATCTTGCCCAAAATTTTCAGTGTAATAATTTACTCTTGGACATCACAGTTTCTCCGAGTTGATTCCTCTCCCTGCAGCCGTACTTTGAGAATTATCATACTTCATTTCACGACAGTACTTAATTCAGATCAATAGTCCAGCCACTGTGATCATGCAACTTCAAGTTACATGTGATGTAAGATTTCACCCATGTCAGAATAATGCGTATTCAAGAAAGTAGCCTTTGAGCAATGGACATAACAAAATCTTTCTATCGATAGATTCTCTAAGAAGCCATGGTCATCACAATTCGTTCGACCTCACATGATTTTAAGTGTCCATTTAAACACCCTAAAACTCTATAGATTTCCTTCCTCTGTGGGTGCTTTGTATCTTTAGCTAAGAACTCATGGACATTATTTCCTATTTGGATTGAGCTACAACCAGGAATTTTTACTATTCCCTGGTCTCTAGTAGCTATACGGAAGTTCAAGGTATCTTGCCACCGCCCAACAGAAGAGCTTAGATTTATTATCAATGTTAAATAACTTGGGTTGTTAGGCTCTTGCTCCAGGATCCTCCTGGTTAAGGATTCTAACAACTCCCCGTTTCTATAAGTTTTACAAGCAGAAAGCAATGTGGCCCAAATGACCACGTTAGGTTCCAAATGCATGCTCTTTATGAAACTCAGTGCTTCTTCAAACTTTCCAGCTCGGCCAAGAAGATCAACCATGCATCCATAATGCTCAATCCGTGGTTTAATGCCAAATTTGTCCATCATATGGTAAAATACCCTTTTCCCTTCTTCCAGCAGCCCACCATGAGTGCAAGCTGAAAGAACAGCAATAAATACAACATCATCCGGCTCTACTCCTTCCAAGCACATTTTTTCATAGAGTTCTAGGGCGTCTTTGCAATGTCCATTCACTGCTAATCCTGAAATCATTGTAGTCCAAGTGATTATGCATCTTTGGGCCATCCTCAGGAAAACTGCTTTTGCATTTTCCATATCTCCACATTTTGCAAATGTGTCGATTAAAGCATTTCCTAGGGGAACTGATAAGTCAAATTTGTTCTTTCTTATAAAAGAATCAATCCATTTTCCATGCTCATGAGACCCCAAATGTGAACATGCTGAGAGTACACTGATCAAAGTAGTCTGGTTGGGTTTGCAGTTCCCGTCAATCAACATAAGCTGAAACACAGAAAGAGCTTCATCAAACATGTGGTTATTTACATATCCAGCAATCATGGCATTCCATGAAACAACATTTTTTTCTGGTATTCGATCAAACATCTTTCTTGCTGATAGCACATCACCACTTGTGGCATATCCTGATACCACTGCAGTCCAAGAGATTATACTTTTCTCCGGCATCTCATCAAATATAGCTCTAGCAGTCTCTACGTCACCCAACTTCACATATCCAGATATCATCATATTCCAAGAAACATCATTCTTCTCCGGCATACGCTTAAAAACAGAACGAGCCATCTCCATGTTCCCAACCTTCAATAGCCCAGCAATAACCGAATTCCACGAAATCAGATTCCTCTCCGGCATAGCCTCAAACAAACAAAGCGCATATTCTTGATTACCATGAATCATATAAGCACCAATCATCGTATTCCACGAAACAACATCTCTTTCATACATTTCATCAAACACCTTACGAGCAGAACCCAAATTCCCACCACATTTAGCGTAAAAATCCATAAGGGTATTCTTAGCAAACACACTCGACTCAAAACCCAACTTTGCAATCTGACTATGAACTACTTCTCCAGCTTGTAAAACATCAAAAGACTCAAAACACCTCAAGAGAAACGTAAATGTGAAACTATTAGGTGTAATATTTGATACCCTCATATGGTTATAAGTATATAATGCATATTTAAATGTCTTGCCAATGAAGCATTGAATCAAAGTATTGTAGGAAATAAGAGTTGGGTTTTCTAAGCTTTCAAAGACATGAAGTCCATAATCAAGTGAAATGAAGTTTGAGGAAAAAGTTATGAGCTTTGGCACTATAAAGTTGTTATTCATTAGGCCATTGACAATAATCTGAAGATGGGTCTCTTTCAATTGTTTGCTAGTTTTGGATTTCTGTAAAAATTTGAGCAATTTTTGCTCCATTTTTGTGTGAGTTTTGGAAAGTTCAAAAGGCTTAATACAGGTAATACAGTTAATAGAGTGCCAACAACAGGTGAGTTCTTGGAAATCAAGGAAATTGCATTTTAGGACCTTACTTTTTAAAGATCTGCACTTAGGACCTCTTATTATTGTTTATGCTTAATTTTGAATTATAAATTTTTATCTAATCACACTTGTAATATATTTAAATTTTAACTTTCATTAGTCTTTCATTAACATTGACACCCTTTTTCAAATCATTAATTGAACTTCTTGTATTATGTGAAATTATGAAAGGTTTGAAAATTTTATCCATTTACTTGATGATTTAAGTATTGTAAGAATATTTTTTAGGATGATTTAATTGATTTGGAGGGTGGTCGTTCATCGGGATCAATCTTTATTAACGCCTTTAGAATCGAGTCTGTTGCATAGAATTTGTTTAGTGTAGTTATATATTTCATGTGTGATTATAGGCTTTACGTAGTGGGTAGTTTATCTTGTGTGTACGGAGTGCTCACACAAAGGAAAGAAGCAATCTATTACACAGTTGATGTGCACAAAATGTTTACCATAGAGTGCTCAAGCAAAAGGAAGGGTAAAGGAAATCTATTACGCAGTGAAGAATTTACCCAATGCGTACAAAACAATTAATTAATTATGTCATGATTCCAAGTTAGTTAGAATTAATTATAGTAATATGTAATCCATATCTTTGTCACTATTTAGGTAATTTCATAGAGTAATTTGAAATACCATAAATATAGTTATCATAAAATATAAGGACTAAAACACAAAAGAGACATATTTTGCGAGTCAGTTAATGGAAGTGAAAGCAAGAAACTTCATCCTTGCTTCTCAAGAACTCAGAAATGATCACAAACCCATTAAACAATTGGTCTTACAGTATAAAGAACTGCATATCTCAAGGAAAATTCAAAGAAGCCCTTTTAACATATACCCATAATCGTATCAATGGAAGTTTTATAATGGGTGTTGTTCCTTTGGTGCTAAAGGCATGTGCTTCACTTTCAATGCTCAGCCTTGGCAAAGCCTTACATGCTGAATCTGTGAAATCAGGATTTGATTGTAATGTAATGGTGGGGACTGCGTTATTGGATATGTATGGGAAATGTGGTGAAATTCGGAGTGCCCGGAAAGTGTTTGATTATATGCCTGAAAGAAATGTGATAACATGGAATGCTATGATAGGAGGATGTATAAAGAGTGGTGATATAAAGACTGCTTTTTTATTGTTTGAGAATATGTCTGAGAAGACAACTGTGACTTGGAATGAAATGATTGATGGGTATGCTAGGAATGGAGATATGGTGATGGCTAGGAGTTTTTTTGACCGGGTACCAGATGAGTCGAGGAATGTTGTTACATGGAGTGTGATGGTTGATGGGTATGCTAGTCATGGGGATATGGATGCTGCAAGGGAATTGTTTGAGATTATGCCAACAAGGAATTTTTATGTCTGGTCGTCGATGGTTTCTGGTTATTTTAAGAAAGGTGATGTTAAGGGTGCTGAGGCTATATTTGATAGGATGAAAATGAGGAACTTGGTGAACTGGAATTCATTGATATGTGGTTATACACAAAATGGGTTATGTGAAGAAGCTCTGGAAGCATTTACAAAAATGCAAGATGAGGGTCTTGAACCGGATGAGGTCACTGTAGTTAGTGTTTTATCGGCTTGCTCTCAGTTAGCATTGCTGGATATTGGCAAGGATATACATGAAATGATAATTCAGAAAGGGATTGAATTGAATCAATATGTTCTTAATGGGTTGGTTGACATGTATGCAAAATGTGGGGATTTAAGTAACGCCAGATTGATTTTTGAAGGAATGTTACTTAAGAATGATGCTGCTTGGAACTCACTAATATCTGGTTTTGCTAATCATGGCCACTGTGTGGAGGCAATTAATTTTTTTGAGAGAATGGCTAGTTCAGGAGTGAAACCTAATGATATAACATTTCTCTCAGTGCTATCGGCTTGTGCCCATGGTGGTTTGGTGGAGGAAGGTCTAGAGATCTTCTCCAGGATGGAGAAATATGCATTGACAGCGAGCATCAAGCATTATGGTTGTCTTGTAGACCTTTTGGGAAGGGCCGGAAGATTAGAGGAGGCTTGTGACTTGATGAAAGGGATGCCTGTCAAACCAAATGACACAGTTTTAGGGGCTCTGCTTGGAGCATGCCGGGTTCACTCAGACACAAATATGGTTGAAAATGTGCTGAAAGAGGTCAGAAAATTGAACTACATTAGTGATTCTGGTGATGATGCACATTATGTGATTTTTTCAAATATATATGCTGCTGCTGAAAGATGGGAGAAAGCTGAAAGGATGAGGTATGCCTTGTCAAATAAAGGGTCTCAGAAGACACCAGGGTGTAGTGTGGTCATGCTCGATGGACCAGAGACTAGTTTTATGCAAGTATTGACAGCGTAAACTTCAAAAACGTGATACTACAACAGTGTTGAGGTGATTGTAGTGACAATCAAACAGAGTTATCAATGCCTGATGTCGCGATCAATCCAGAAGAGGTGCCTTCTGAAGACTTGTAATATTGGTAACATAAACAGTTTACAATAATCATTGGTAGCTAAACTTTGTTACCAAAACTCATTCTAGGGGAAATTCTCCTCTCACATATTTAACTGTATATACTACTAGAGGTGATGTGGCTTCTTGTAAATAGTTGTGATTATAGTGACCGACTCTTCTACCTTGTGCATTCCACCTCTGCTAAGGTGCTATCACGCATGGGGTAGATGTAACTCAGACAACCCTGAAAGACTCAGCGATCTTTCTCAAATCTTTGTAATACCTTTTCCATTGAAGACCTGTAAAATCACAGCAAGTTGTAGGATTTGAACAATTTATAATGCAGATATTCTGAAGATAGAAAGTGTTGATTTGGTTCTTACCATTTCCAGTAACATTGAACAAGTATAGGCGATTTCCAGCAGCCGTTGCTGTGATCATTACATGTGGTGGCTCTAATTCAAACTGGTAATATGTTCTTCCCTCATGCTCTGCCACTTCAGATCTTAAGACTTTACCTTCAACATTCTCTCCAATGACTTCAGGCCCAAATGCGCTAATCACTTTATCTGGAGGTCCAATTTGTTCTATGGTAGCTTCTTCACCAATTTCTACGTCATATTTTGAGTAGAATACCACCAAGATTGAATCCATTAGAGACAAATTGAGTTGATTATATTTATTTGCTAGTATGTTTTACATGTTCATCCATAGGTTCACCTAAGATCACTTTTTGTTTTAGTTCTTAGTTCATTACTAGAATAGAAAGAAGAAAAAAAAATGAGATGCTCACCATCTGAAAATCTTTTTACAGGAGCCACAATTACAATGACTCTCCCTTCTTTGGGATTTGCAAATCTCAAGTCGATCTCTGTACCACCTAGATCAGCAATTGACACAGGGACCTGTTCAACAGGTGAAAACATCAAAAGTGGACCTGATTAAGGTCTGTCCAACCATGCAAAGTTGATTAAATATCAAGCTCAAAGGTAATTTCTGACATCGTCTACTGATATACAGTTGTGAATAAATGGATTCCTACCTCTTCCCATTTATCAGGCACGGAAAAAGTATAAGGAATCATAGGACTCCATCCAACACCGTGTCCACCTGACTTGTCATCCGGTCTTCGGTATGTCCTCCAACCTGCCTGAGCAATTTTGTCCTTGTTAAGATGAACATTTACTTGGAAACGAAGAAGACACTAAGAATGCCAATCATGTAAGGAAGTGTTGCTGTATTTATGTGTTTTTGATAAGATTACATGTTGAACAAGTGTTCTTTCGTTATGTGAATGTAGTATGTGTCAACATGCATTTTCCAGCTTAGAGTCCATCTTTTGTTGCAATCCAAAGCTATGAACAATACCAATAATTGTCCAAGTTTTTCAACATCACTCATGAAAATATCAATAAGCTTACTGCAGTCTGCAGTGTTATATATGAGACTAACCTTCTTCATCTGGTTCAGAAAGTCCAGGAACTCTCCCTGCTAGGAGACCTTGTTTAATTACAGCAGATCCCTCTCCAGGAAAAAGCAGTACTGATGAAATCAAAGAAGCACCAGATATAATAGCTGACCTCCTATTCAATGATCCTGCAGATATCTCACAATCCCGGTTCATACGAGCATCTTCTTTAGAACAAACAGCAGATTTAATTCTTGAACACCCTTTTTCTGGAACACCACGCGGAACCACATGGTGAGAGGGATTCATCTGTCTGCTCAGATTTTTCCAAGAAAGGCAGCTGCTGCTGTAAACAAATGTCCCCATTTCCTCCCAACCAAAAAGAAATTTCTATTCAGTATGGGAAATTTCAGATACCAGATTTAAGCCTCTTTGATTATGTTTTTGAGTTGTCCTTTTGAACTTATGATATGAACTCTTCCTGCTATACTGAAAAGAGCTTTTGATTGGGTTTACACCTAGCAAAATCTGAGGTCCACAGAGTTTGGAATGTCTTGAGAATTTTTGTGGTTGTGGTGGCACTGATTTAAAGATTTGGTTTTTGCTTCGTCGAATAAAGTTCTTGGCTTTACATGTTATCACTAGTCACTTGCGGCTCACTAATAAAAACCATAATTTGTGGTTATTACAATTATGCAAATTTTGATGAAAAATAATGTATTTTGGAAACCGCATCTTATCAAATTGAGTACGAGATTTACTTAAATATAATAGATACTCCACCGTACCAAATAATCAAGACAAGTTTTTATATCTTGTGAAGAAAACAAAAAGTAACACCTCGAATAAGTGTATTACAACAACATGCTAGTGAAATCTCACAAATGGGATCTACGGAGGTTAGAGTATGCTTGCTAGTGAAATCTCACAAATGGGATCTACGGAGGTTAGAGTGTACGCCTGTATACAAAACACAATAAACATATGAAGATACATATCAAAAACTAGTTAACAGAGGAGCTTAACATTTTGGTCTTCAGAATAGCCTAAGGAACCACAATTCCTATGACAAATGACAACCTATACATCAGGAGAAAACATGAAAAAAAGAAAGTGCAAATTTCTTTTATCAGTGTGAAAAAAATAATAAG